CGGAAGAATAAAGATTGGAAGAACAATAGTGGGACAGCATTCGCACTAATAAAAAGAAGAAGAAAAAAATATATATTTTAAAACGGACAAGTCAAATCAAGCAATCTGATTGGTTCTTAGCCGTGATATAATGAGCCTATATCACGGGTAGAATTGTAGTTACTTTTCACAAGTCAGTATCCCTCCACGTCTGAGAAAAGCTACAACCGTTACAGCTGTTACATTACGTCCGTTACGAAACTAACTAACTAACAAAGCTCAAGATGGAAACATTTAAGGTTAACTTCGACCTCCGGGGTGGCCTTACTATGGAGGAGTGGATTGAGCAGTGCCTATCTCCAGAAAGCACCTAAACGACGACATGCAGAGCTACGTGAAGAGCAGGTAGAACAACTGGAAAAGTACCACCATTCAAAAGCTTTCTGATGCGGGTCTTGAAACAAAGCAGAGAAACTATGACCGTCAGTGGCCACAGGTGCGAAAGCTCTCCAGAGCTACTGGAAGCCGAATCTCGTGGACCGGAGAAAGTGGAGCAATATTCTCGCCATGCCAAGCAACAGCCTAGAACAACCTCAACCTATACAAGTAACCTCGTAAGCCATTCTACTGATGCTGGACAGTTTTTCAGTGGGTGCACAATAAATGGCAACATACAACTGACTCTAAATAAATAGCCAAATAATCGATCAACGCTCTCTGTCTAATATGTTCGCTAGCTGTTAGTTTTGTTGCATACAGTAGCAACCACCTCGCACTATGTTTTGTGCAGAAGGCAACGGAGGGACTATTTTATTTTGAACATCATTATTTACTAATAAAAACTATTTAAATTGGAGTGTGTATTTTTCTTTCATATTGCCACACTTGGTAACCATTTTATAAAAGCAATAGCTCACTTCAGGCCGTGATATATGTTCATTATATCACAGCTAAGGGGCGTTGTTCGGCCCGACGCGAAGACCATATACCACGGCCTGTCGTGAGCTATTGCTTAAATATCTGAATGTTTTGGTGTATTTTAAATTGTCGAGTTGGAGACAAAACAATCCAATTGTACTGGGTCTATACTGAAGTGTTTTTTTAAGAATCTGCTTTTAAATATAATGCTGCATAATTAAAAGTCATAACAAATAATGAAAAAGTATTAAAGTATATATTAAGTATACAAATATGCAGATATATTTGATCCTCTGATCAACGTTCTTTGCTACTATTATAGTGCAATTTAAAAACATTTAAAGAGTTTGGGGTTACTGTTTTATGGAAGAAAAATTGAAGCAAAAAGAAAGGATATATTGTTGTCCGCTTCCAGTAGGGGCCCATACATACTCAGGCCATCTCCTTATTCATTTAGTTAGGGTCTGGCAAAAGTCCCAATGTTGTACAATAATTGTGACAAATGCTTTCTATTGCAAAATCAGGAGATAATACTAGGATTCAAGTTCATTATGTGTTATTGAACTTCTGTGCCTCCTCACATGCACAATAGCCAAATGTTAGGGTTTTGCTTTGGGGTAGATGGTGTTGGTTGTACAGTATGTATCCAATATGACCCCGAAGAGGGTTAGGGTTCCCCCGGGAAAACAATATGTAGCTTAAAATGGGCTAATGATAAGTCAACCCAGTCTCACGGCATTTCGTGTTATAGTCACGAAATGTAATCTATTGATTTGTGTTCACCAACACGATTTTCCCCTTTTTTTCGTGTCACACAGAACGATTTTAAAAGCAATGTATTCATATTGGTAGTGTGTTTCGAGCCTGCAACACGTCTTTTTGTCCGGTCGGGTCTTGGAAGACCGGAAGCTGTGGGGTTCATAAAAACATAAACTTACTCAATATCAAGCCACGATTATTGTTTTTATTTTAAATCGTATAATGTCTGACTTTTTTTGCCGTCCGTGAGGAAAAGAAATGTGGCTCAGAGCCTCAGAATACTGAAATCTGTATTTTTAAATCTTTTTTTCGTTCTAATTTGTTATTCTTTTCTAAATAACACACTGTTATTTACTCAACAATAACACACAATTATCCTTGTTTTTATTTATTTGTAACACCAAACCGACAGAAAAGAGGGTCTTAACATGACCCAGTGGTCTAGTTAATAAAACATAATAATATCAAACATAATATTACTATTAACTTTATTATGAAATTAAAACAGAACGGTAAAAAAAAATACAGTTTCCGGTGTCCGTGTGAGGCCCAATCTCTCTCGATTTGAAGCTCATGCATTGTACCATGAACCTACACCTGTAACAGTCAAAGACAGGCAACTGTTGTGGAGTTGGAAAGGTAGTTTCTGAAGATACAAATAACACACAGCATACAATGCCATAATAACTTTTTATTATTAGTGTAGTGGTCAGGATTCCTGGTTTTCACCCAGGTTCGATCCCCGGTATGGGAACAATTGTTCAGGATGGCAGGAGCTCAGTCCATAGAGATTGGCTTGGGGTTGCATAACTAAAAGCTGCCCAATGCTCCTTATACTAAGATAAATGTAGAGTCTAAATAAAAAAAAGTGAATATAATTGAATGTTGGTAAGATTACAATTCTCCATTTCCACATGAACAGTCCTGCTAGTCATGTTGCCAGTTTATGTGCACGTTTTTTTCTCCAATTATATCATCTGTAGAAGTCGGATAAATAAATAAAAATGTGAGCCGTGGCAAATAAACATGTTAGTCAACTCTAGCGCTTCTGCATCAGGCAACAAAAAAAACATGGCTGATAGAAACAGCTGTGACGTCAATGTTTATCTTTCGTCGGCACCTGCCTTTTTTTTGCATTTTGAGTCAAGACTTGTTTTCATTTCAGGCAATTATCTATGCGTGTGCTTTTCCCCATAATGACCAAGTCGCTGCACATTATCCCGCTTATTACATGGCCACATTCTCAACAAAGTAACGACATGACTCCCAATATTAATTGAAATGCTTTTATAGATTTAGAAAATGTTTTTATTGATTTAATAAATAGTACGCTAGATATCCCTGCCCTAATGACAAAGTACCTGGCAACTGAATATGTGTCGCCGTTTGATGTCTATGTCTGGACCGTTGCGTAAAAAGGAGGGTTTCTGCCCCGTTACTTCTCCGCTGTTTTTCTTGTCCCAGTTTGAAAAGCAAACTGCATGCAGTTTGCTTTTCGGACAAACTGTATACAGTTAAATTGACCGAACTTCTTTCTACAGATGTAAGCGTCCTTAACAACAGTCAATAAATCCTTGACAGCGGTCTGTCTGTTCTGGATTAACAACGTGTCACGTGTTCTGAATAGACCAATCAGAATCGAGTATTCAACTAAGCCATGTAATAAATATATATATCTATATATATATATGAGAGTTCTGGTGAATACATGGTTGAATACAATGTGTCTGCATACTTGTATTTGTTGTATTGCTGATTTTAGTTTTCCTTGGCCAAGCCTTTCAATTAACCCTTGTTTTTCAATTTCAATTTGATCACTTTATGTTCCCAGTGTGGTCTTCTCAATTTACGATCAGTACCCTCGGCCCCTGCAGACAAACGGACCTGCAGCCAAGATTAACTTTTTAATCCTCTGAGGATTGCGTTTAAAGCGCCTCGCTGCTGGCTTTTCTGATCCGGATGACCCCAAGTGGTATAAGGGAAAAAGCGTGAAGTGGAGAAGCAATATAAGAGAAAATACAGCATGAGGCTTGGATAAAAAAGTTATTTAATAACAAAATAAATGCACATCTGAAACAGATACAGCACGAGGTATCACTTTCACCTGAAAAGGTCTCTTCATTGTTTGAGCATACTTGCAGCGACAATGTAGAAATGTTTATTTGCCTTTGTTGGCTAACGGCTGCATGTGTTTGCATGTTATAAACACCTGTAGATAAATGGAAATGTTTTATATTCTCCACATGAATGCAAAAATGCACCTTTGAACCTTTGAAGTAACTAACAAATAAATGAAATGGGCGATCAAGATGTTCGTGTGTTCTGCTGCCCCCAAGTGACCAAAAAAGAAATGTTGGTCACTAATACTATTTTAGTTATTGAAAGCCTAATTCTTTTAACTACCAGATTTGAGTCAAACAAACAACTTGATAGTGTTATAAGGTTGTTAAATATTAAGCTATTTAAACCAGAGGTAGAAGAAGTACTCACATGTTACCTGAAGTAAATTGTAAAGTAAAATCCTGCATTTAAAATCCTACTTAAGTAAAAGTACAAAATGATTGGCATTCAAATATACTTAAAGTATGAAAAATAAAATGATGCATGTTTTCCCATTTCAGGATCATAGGCTATATATGAAATAACAGGGTTATAATTATTGATGCATTAATGTTCAATGTTCATCACACTGGTACAGGTGGAGCTGATTATGATAACTTAACTATCTTAACATGTCCTTATATTTTTGACCTTTTATCTGCACCGTATATTTTCACTTTGATGGATTTCTGATTGATATGTCAATGTTGATTTATTAGTTGATTTATATTTTGTATTAGTTAGTAATCTGAATCTGTTAAAAGCTGCGAGATAAACATAGAGGAATTAAAAAGTACAACATTGGCTTCAAAAATGTAGTGGAGTAGAAGTATGCAGTAGCTTAAACTCGAAATACTTAAGCAAAGTACCTCAGAATTGTACTTAAGTACAGTATTTGAGTTAACGTACTTACCCACCCCTCTGCAGAGACAACTACACTATCAAAAATAATATTAAAACACATAATAAACAGGAATCTAAATACACAACAATTGGCTGTTCTTCATTTCCCAGCCGGCGTTCTCTGTGTTAGCTCTGTGTTAGCCACATTAGCTTAACATCAGGACAGAGCACGTTTGCAGAGAGGACTCGGACCTGTGCACCGGAGTTTAAAACCTCTGCAAACCTGCATCCGTGCAACTTCAAAAGTCTCGAGAAGCTCGACATGGAGACGAAACCCCAGACAGCAGCTGTGTGTCAGCCTCAGATCATATCCTGTGGGTGGAGAACCCACACGTGAGGAATCAGGACGTCTTTCCGCAGTTCTGTATGACCCAACCTTTGGCGTCTACGTCCAACTTCAGCAGGTTCATCAGCCACTCGTCCTTCTGAGCCCCCTCCATAAACTCTGACAGCGTTATCTGACCTGCGGGGCACAAAACACGCAGAATAAAAGCAGTACAAAAAATCGACACTGAAAAAAACTCAAACGTTGACTTTAATTAAATGTATTATGTCAACAAATGTCACATAACTTCATTAGTTCAGTTCAAAGCAGTGATTTTAATTTGAACCTAATATTTTTTATTTATATGAAATATTTTGATTTGATTTGATTTGATTTATTTCAAACTTGTAAAACAATAATACAACAAAATAGTAATAATAATGAAATGAAACATGAGAATTATGATACTGTACAAACTTAAAGGTGGGGTATGTAATTTTGGAGAAACCAATTTGAAAATACACAACCGGAAAAAATCTGCCACTTCCTTACAGAGCCCCTCCTCCAACACACACGAACGCGCACATGACCACCATGAGATGGAAGGCTGACAGGCAGGTAGGCCATCCAGTTATTTTAGCCGGGCCGGCTAAAATGATTGGTCGTGCTTTTTACAGTATTACGGCTTCCACAGATGGAAATGTATTTTTTGTCAAAGCACTTAAGATATTCATTGCTATCGGGATGTTAAGAGCATTCCATGGAATATAACAAAAAGTGTTTCTGAAGTGAATTACCTACCCCACCTTTAAGCAGTATCAAATTGATAAACTAAAAATATTATTGACGAGCAAATTATATATAAACAAATGATCTACTTAATTACACATCCGAGAAGGGGTGGGAAGAAGTTTACACTTATTTAATCCCACCCCTTCTCACAAAAACTAAATTATTAACATATATATATTTTTTCTTTTTCGTAATATGTTGACATAACACATTTAATTAAAGTCAACGTTTCAGTTTTTTCAGTGAACACAGTCTACATGAATACACATAGATCAGTATATTTTATCTATTTACATGTATATAGACTCCTGGATTTACTTAAAGGTTTTTATTTTGTTTGTTTTTTTGTATATCGTTTACTTCATCTGCACTACTTGCACATTGGTCTTTTTTATTCTATTCTGTTTCTTGTTGCACTATTTTAATAAATATTTGTATTTTACATTTTTACTTTAACTTGTTATGTTAATATAAAAATCTTTATTTGATCCTCATTTGCACATTCTAACATAAACTCCTTTTGTTAATATAAATATTTTTCCAAATGTATTTTATTTTATCTTTCTATTGCACATTTTTCTACAACTTCTTATATTCATATACATACTAAATAGCGATTTATATATTTCGATTGAGCATTTTTACTTTTACTCCTTGTGTATATATAAATATGTTTATTCTATTTGTTTATGTTTTATTTATTTGGATCTAAAATGGAACAATTGTCACAAACTCCAATTTCCTCTTGGATAAATAAAGTGTCAGCATGTTGTTAAAGGGGAGAAACCACAAATAAGTAAATCATGAAAAAAGCATTCAAATTAATTTACCCAGTCGATAACTTACATTATGTTAGTTTAGTATTACAAATGTTCTTAAATCAAAATTCTTAAATATGCAAATAAAGCATTATGTTGTGCTAAACTGCAAACAAAAAAAGACTAAGTTAGTAAAATAAACTCCTGAATGTGTATTTTGGACATTTTTGTCGACACTAGTCTGAATGAAGAGATAATAGAAATTGAGCAGTGCGTTAAAAAAGCATGGTTTTTCGAGCAGTGTCTCACTTTATGAGATTTAACCCAAAGCCACATTATTTCCTAAAATTCGTGAAAAGCAAAAAGTGTAGTAGAAACATTGCTGTGAATTGCTTTAGCTTATATGAGTCAAACTTCTGGTAACTACTTCTTTGAAATGTTGTGAAAATGACCCTTAAAAAACAGGATTTAAGTAAACGTGACTTTGTATTGTAGTTATATTCATATATTATTGTATTTTAATGTTCGCTGTCCTCTCACTCACCGTCAGCGTTCTGGTCGACCAGCTCGAAGATCCGGTCACAGATTTGAGACGGCGTCATGCTGCTGGCGTTAGTCTTCTGGAATTTGATTTTGTGAAGAATCTGAGTGAGATAAAAGAAATGCGTCTGTTATAAAGTGTTAATAACTAGTTGTTCTAACTTTGTAACTGTCCTCGGATTTAATATTAAACTGGAGAAGATGTAACCTCCATCCAGAAGTCTAAGGTGTATTCAGATCCTTTACTCAAAAAAAGAAATAATAGCATACTTTAAACTTCTCTGTTACAGCTCAAAGGTTTATTGTACAATGAAGAAAAACACCCAAAAACCAAGCAATTATCACCAAGTTATCATCTATCATTTTTGTTTGAACCCCTTTTTTCTCCTGTTTTTCTGGTAGGAGTTAGGTAAGAAGCCTGTATTTTAATTTGTTTGTTTTGTTAGGCAAGTTTAAGGAAACTCTGTAAAGAGGGTTTTTGTTTGTTATGTTGGGATTGTCTCACCTCTTTTTGAGTTAATTAAATCTCAAAAAGCTGATTTCCTGTGTCATTGACCATTTCTTGGGAGTGGGAAGAGTGGGGAGAGTGCAATTTTGTGCTGCGCCTAGGTTCCCCTGGGCGTAACTCTGAAAAGCGTTTTAGTGTCTTTCAGCTTCTTGTTTTGGTTTTCGATTATAAAATAAATAAAATAACATATATATAGGATCTTAAATGTGAGTAACTTTTAGGTTACTGTAACATATATCACATAATTGCAGTGAGTCTAATTCACTTTGACACTAGGCTAATGTTAGCCCCTCTGTATTTAGAGGCTTACTGTGAAGCATTACATGAAAAGGGAGCGTTCCCTACCTCCCACTGAACTGATGGACGCAACCTTTCATCCATAAGACTTGACACCGGGCCAATACTAAAGTATAATCCGTCTTGAGAGGATTATTCTTACATAAAACCTGTTCGCTCACCTCATGGGACTCATCATCTGAGTGTATCCAACTCCACTTTGGTTAAGACCAGCATTACTTCCAGAAAACTCTCAAAACGTGCTTAAAAAATACTCTAATGATTGTTTTATTAAACATGTGTTATTGTGAATGAACAGTGTGTAATCCAATGTGAAAATTGGATAAAGACAGGTTAAAAATTATTGTTTTGTTTTGTTGGCATGTTAGAGTCAAAGGCTTTTACAGAGGGATCTCTCTCTCTCTTTGTCGCTACATACATACGAAAAATGCCTATAAAAAGTCATTTCTGCATGTTTTTAGTAATAAAGTGTGTGTAAATGAGTGTGTGAAGGCTGTGTAAGAAGCTTCAGAATATAGAGAGGAATGAAAGTGGACAGTTGGGTGTGTGTGACAGATTTCTGCCGTGATTGGAGGGGAGAAAGCTGCCTTTAAAGATATGTATTGTCAAATGTCATGTTGTACACACCACAGGTTAATAGGGAAAGAAATGGGTAAGCGTCAGGGGTGGAAAACGTTTTTGAATTCTTCACTTGAGTAAAAGTACTAATACCACACTGTAAAAATACTTAATTTCAAGTAAAAAGTACTGCATCTGGAATGGTACTTAAGTAGAAGTATTAAAGGTCCCATGTCATGGCCATATCTACTGATCATAATTCCATTGTTGAGGTATACTAGAATAGATTTATCTTGTGCAATTTTCCAAACTCACATTGGTTTCTCATACAGCATCTCTGTATAGTATGTGTATTCACTCTCTGTCCTAAACGGCTTGTTTGAGCTCCTGCCCCCCCCTCCCTGTGAGCCCACTGTGCTCTGATTGGTCAGCTCGCCCACTCTGTTCTGATGAGTCTACCACCGTTACAGCGGAACATCAGTGATTATGTGTTACAATGGCGTTAGCAACCAGAAAATGACACCAGTAATGACAAACAGATGAGAATGCTGCGTGGGGTCTGGGTGCCGTGTTGGCGGGACGTTGCGGGGCTCGCTGCTGCAAGGAGCGGACAGTGTGAGCTGGGTTCATTTTCCTGCTTGCTGCGTGGGATCTGCGAGACAGCGAGACATCGCAAATGGACGCGGGAAGGGGGGGGGGGGGTTGCTGAGGGGGTTGGTCTGCAGCACCCCCATCTGCGAGGCTCCACTAGCACCCGCACCCCTATTGTTGGACAAAACACTTATTCAACCTACTCATGGTTTCACTTGCTTGAATATAAAGTTGGATGGTTTAATCTGATACTAGATAATCATATTTTAAAAGTGTTTCCTAAATGTTGTGTGGCAAAATCTGAATTTATAAACTCAATCTGTATAATAAATATACTGGAGTAAAAATTACAAAACAAATACGTCCAAAATACAGTGAAAGTATAAGTAGTATAAAATAAAAATACTCAGGTAAAGTACAAGTACCTCAAATGTGGTACAGGACTAAATGTACTTCTACCACTGGTACGCATGGCCCCTGCGTCAGTAGTGTAATCCATCTGGAGAGGATCGTACTCAAAACCTTGGCACTTTTCAAATGACTGTTAAAATGGGCATTACTCTCCACCAAACACTTAAAATAAAAACTGTTTATATCTGCATATTTCTCACCCTTATGATGCGCTTCACTTCATGTCGGTCCAACCTGCCGTTACCATCCTTGTCGTACAACTTGAAGGACCACTTTAGTCGGTCTTCAATATTCCCTCTTAAGATTAAGTTGAGAGCTGCCACATACTCGATGAAATCCAGAGCGTTATCCTGCAAATCACAAATCCTTTATTGCAACAGAATAATGCAGAGTTGCATTCACAATTAGCTTCTTTTTTTATCAATTATTGTTAGATGTTGCTCACACATGTGTCTACTGTTCCTGTAACTGCACTGAAATAACTGAAATGTTGACTTTAATTAAATGTATTATGTCAACAAATGTCACATAACTGTATTAGGTTAGTTGAAAGCAATAATATTAAGTTGAACCTAATGTTTGTTATTTAAATGTAATGTTATTGCTTTCAACTAACCTAATACAGTTATGTGAAATCTGTTGACATAATGCATCTAATTAAGGTCAACGTTTCAGTTATTTCAGTGTAATTAAATAATTAGACATTTAAATGATTAATGACATAAAACACACTGTTAGTTAAACATTTCTGCATGTCTGCTATGAATGTACACTAAAATGTTTGCCCACTGCAACTTCTTTTAAATGCACAATCGGTCTGTTTCCACAAAGAGAAATCTGCTGCTTCTTTTTACCTGATTTGTGTCGAAGGAGTGGAATAACGTCTCGATGTACAGCGACTCCTCTTCGGAGGAACTCGGCACCCCGAAGATCCTCTTGAACTCGTGCAGGTGCAAGGCCCCGCTCGGACACTCCTTCAAGAAAATGATGCAAAGATCCTGAATTTGCGCCAAATCCATCTCCTCGCTCTGGCTCACCTCCTGCCCCATGGTGTGGCTTTTAAAAGAAGAGTTTAAATGATGTTTGAGTGAGTGTTTGGCTTCTGATTCTGAGATCCCCGATGCATAAGGCTCACTCTCCCCAATCAAAGTGAGGAGCTGGCAGAGGGACTGCAGGCTGACAATCAGTCAATCCTATTAGCTCGTTAATCGCTTGATCTTTGGCCAACAAGGCGTTGTGAAAGTAGTGTAGGTCTGAAAGGACTGCTGCCGGCACCAAGCGCTAACAACTGTGATACCGTGGTGTCTACTTAATCAAAGAGAGGAGAGTGAATTAAAGCTGGCTTTAACATCAGCTGTCCGTCAACCAGCACCATTTGATAATGAGTTGGCTGTTTTCATGTAACTGATGAACCAGTGACTAACAGAATAAATACAACACCATTTTTCAATATTTTCCTAATTGCAGGTTGAAGTTAAAATACAAAGTGATTTTTTTCCTTTGATACATCATATTCTCGTTAATCAGATTCAGAATCAGAATACCTTTATTAGTACCACTGCATATTTTCTAATATACATATAAAAACATATTGTGTGTTACATATATGTTACATATTGTACAATGTGCACATTTTTATTTTAACTTGTTGTGTTTAAAAAACGTTTTAATTATATTTTAATTATATATTTATTGGACAGTTTTACTCAACTTATTTTATTTATATGAATATTTTTATTTCATCTTTTAATGCACATTTTACTTAAACTACTCGTGTTTATATAACACTTTGTATTCTATTTTACTTTTCTTGAATTGCACATTTTAATTAAACTTCTGGTTTTTAAGTAAATATTTGTATTTTATTTTATTCTAAACGGAGCAACCATCACACACTCAACCCCCCCGTGGGATCAAATAAGAGTTCTGATTCTGACTGATTCATGGGCTAATATCTACTGAGCAACCTTTTATATTGCTCACATTTGTTATAACGTTTTAGTTTTCCTATAGAGCCCTCTTTGAGAAAATGTAGTTCAGATTTTCCTTAAATATATGTGTTAAAGCAGGGACGTGCATCACAATTGAAACTCAAAACAAGAAGTGCAAGATCTTGAATTCGAATAATTAAAAGTTGTATTTCTTTCCTGCATTTGGCACTTTAAAATGTATCGTTTCCATTTGCCAAGCCACATACATTTAGCATTTTCTTCAAGTCCTTTTGCATTCGGTTTAGAGCTGAATGTTCCCCTTGAACAGCAGGGGGCGCTGACTATCCTAAAGAACACACAGAGAGTAGAGAGCAGGGCCATCACTTCGGTATTGTTATATTATTTATAAGGAATGGGCTTTATGTTGATAAAACTCTTAATATTTAAGTCCATGTCACCTCAATGGATAAAACAAACCTTTCTCGGGTTGTTTTGTAAAGAAAGTGCATCCAATACCAGATGTTGAGGCCAATGTGGATATTTGAGAGTTAAGAAGAAAACCGAATCAGAATTGTAATTGCACTTTATAAGATTATTTGATATGCGATATTATGTGAGCCAGTATTGCACTTTTTCCTTTCTTTGTCAACATTAGTTACCTCATATTATTATGATATTATGAATTAAGATACCTAGCAGTGTACCTTTACAGCTGCACAATTGAGATGATGAAAACATTAATGCATCCATATTTACAGTTGAGTGATATAATGCATACTATTCTGATAATATTAGTTTTGGTACTTTAAGTATATTTTGATGCTAATACTTTTTTACTCTTATTTAAGTACAATTTTGAATGCAGGACTTTCAATGCAGCAGAGTATTTCTACACTGTAGTAATACTAGTTTAACTTAAGAAAGCAAAATATATTTAAATACTTCCACCTTTGCTTACCGTTAATCAGGTTCCAAAATAATGTCATATATCATTAGTTATAGTAACTACAATCCAAAAAGATTTAGATAGCCAATTGATTTTGACGATTACGTTTCAAAATAACGCGTTAACCTCGGCCTGTTTCACATGGTGCTGTTGTTAGGGTATTTTTAGATAAGTCTTATAACTGAGCCTGATAAATCAAAGTGAGTCACAGGGAAACGAAAGGGTCTGAAGATTGAGAAATAGTCTCTAAAGATTACAAATGTTGACATTCAAGTGTGCTGCTTTCTTTTTTTCCTCATAGAAATTTGATTTAAAAATGTAATTTGGCGAGTTAATAAATCACTTTTTTTCAAACAGCATCAGAAGCAGTAAATTGATGATGTCTGTATGTTCACTCATTTAAACTAAAGATCTAAGGATACGTAAATGTCACTCCTCTGCTCATTGATTATGTGGAGTTGGACTAAGGGTCATACAGGTACAGCGTGGTGAGAAAATAAAGGATTACGGGTAATAATCTCAGCGGGATCCTGAGACCTTTGCATAACGAAGAACATGTACTAAACTGTGCTCGGATTTAAACGATCCCATTAGCAGCACCAGAGAAGCAACATCCATGTGAGGCAAAGCAGGCGATTTCAAATGTAACTTCACCTGATGGGATGGGAATCTAAAAACTACGAGTGAATGATATTTCTCTAAACCAGATTTGCAAAATAACAAACAGACTGAGTTTTATTTCTCTGCTGGGTCCTTTAATTATAGGAGCGTGTCAGGGTAAAAAAAGGAGTATATGCTCAATAGGATTACATACTGTAGCAAGTAGCATCTCACTAAATGTTGGCCCCATCAGGGAGTTTTTCTGTTTTATAGTTAGATAGATATCGCCAAATTGGAATTAAAACTGGGATTATTGTGGTTAGACCTGCAGTGCGGACCTGTGTCTATCTTCTGGCAGTGAGAGTAATGATAAAAACATTGTTGACATGTGTTTTTTTTATAGCAGACCGGCTGCTCTCATACAGCCAGCAGCTCCTCACAGCTCCAAACATCGCTGTTAATTCCAAAATATGTGTTATTTGGATAAACGCATCAAATATATACTTGGGTATTCTACTCTTACTCTTGCACTTTTCTTGCATTTGATGTATTTGTACTGCTATGTTTGTAATTTTCATTTTCTTAATGTTTTATGTGAGGGACTGCGGATGGAAAGTAGCTCAAAGCTAAATCCGGCATATTTACACTTGGCACATCTCATGTTTTAAGTGTTCATTAATGTGCAATAAATACAAATATTGATCATATAAATGGTTAGTTTTTTCGCCTGAATCAGTGTTATTACAGTTCATTCAAAATCTTTAAAGCAGTTTCTTTGTCAGGTAAAGGTTGATAACGCTGGCAGCAGTGCTATGCAAAGTAATATAACCTATACGCTGTAACCTGGAGGACCAACACAACACAAGACAAAGAGGAAAGCTCATGATCAGGTCTAAGGTGAATCAGAGTACATCTGATCCGATCACACTGCACAGAGATATTACATGTAGGACCTATACCTCTCAATTAAACTGTGGCGCCCTTATGTGAGCATGAAGTAATACACAAAGAATAACAAGAGAGCAATGCATTATATGAAGACTTTATGAAATAATAAAAACAAGCAAATACAAAATACAATTTCAAATTATTTTAAAGAATTTTCTTAAATATGTATTCTTTTTCAAAGAAACTGGCAGTGATTGGCTTATCACACACACAGAGACACACACACACACACACACACACACACACACACACACACACACACACACACACACACACACACACACACACACACACACACACACACACACACACACACACACACACACACACACACACACACACACACACACACACACACACACACACACACCTCATAAGCCAGTCAGTCTAAAGTACTGGACAGACCACTATGATCCAGACTCAGCTCATTAGCCTGATGGGAGCTTTTACTATATGGATTTAGCCTGACTCACTATTCTTAGCCTTTAAGGCTCTTTGCCTAATAGTATCATATCCTTTAGCTCCACAGACCCTAGTGAGAACCAGACACACACACACACACACACACACACACACACACACACACACACACACACACACACACACACACACACACACACCACACACACACACACACACACACACACACACACACACACACACACACACACACACACACACACTGAACAGGCCTCTATCATGTCCTGCAGTTCAATTTCATATCTTAGTAGCTCTTTCTTCGTTTCTTTAGAAAATCAAAACATTTTCAGCTGACAATGGAATTAACTTAACTCTATTTCACAGTTCTTTCTTTCATATGTGCATTTACTAAAAGCAAGAAAGTAGGACTTTCTCTGTACAAACTGATCCATACACTTCTTCATTAATCCCTTCAATATACTTCTTCATTAATTCCTTCAATATACTTCTTCATTAATTCCTTCAATATACTTCTTCATTAATTCCTTCAAATAATCTGACGCAGCAGACTCCTACTCCATGATCCCAGCGTTGCGGAGGTAGCCTTCAGGGCCGGGCAGCGAGGAGGTCTGGTCCACGTGAGGACTGCCGGCCTGCTGGATGAACTGCTGCAGCTCACACTGCCTCAGCTCCTTGTTCAGCTCCTCCATCATCTCCCATCTGCCCTACAACATGCAGGAACATTATATCACCAACAGCACCAACGCTGAGCTCAATGCATTTGGTAGAGACGTTTAATCCTTTAGAAATGATAACAGTCATTAAAGGACAAGGCTTTATAGCGTGGTGCTGGAATGAGTCCTGAACCTTGACATGAGTCTGCATTTTAGAACTTTTTCATCCCTCGTTTGGAAGGCAATGTACTTTTGAATTTGTTTTTGTTTGTAATCCTGAAATAAGGTCAGTGGTTGACAAAAGCTGAAGAGATTTGAATTCTACAACATAAAATACGTCAGTAAGTACCCCAGTCTAAAAACGGCGGTTGTTAAAAAGTGTCTAAATGAGTAGTGTCAATATGTGGAGATTATCCTGCTGAACAAAACGTGTAAGTATCATAAACATTGGTTTGCCACAGAGATTTATTCTGCATTAATCCAAAATCCAATGGAAAAAACCTTTTGGATTTTTGTGGAGGGAGACTTTG